GTCTACTCATAGCGACGTACGCTTGGCCTGGAGCGAAAATATTTTCGCCGACATTTAAAGTTGCGTGGGTAATTTAATGCCTTGAGCACCCTTAGACGGGAAAAATATAAAACCGACATAGATAATCTTTTAAAGACGATAATGATATGGAAATATGTTAGAAAATATTCGGAAAAAACAGGAAAGAATCGCGATGGCATGATCAAACGACCTTCCAATTCAAACATCTTATATACAAACACGCTTAATAAACATTTAGACCCGGTCGTCAAAAAAATATGTAAAGATCATCGAGTGAAAATGTAAGAAAATGCCCCTCAGTAAGAAGTTTAGTAAGATAATATGGGAAGAATTAAAGGAAGAACAAAAATATACCGTTTTTTTAAAGTCTTGGCTACAAAAATTAAAGATGCACACGCTAAAAAAATTCCGGGCTATGTTTATAAGCCGAACCTAAACATACCAATATCGTCCTAAAAATGACGATCACTTTCCACGAGAAACGAAAAATAGCTCGTCGACTGCGCATTTACAAACTCAAGGCATTAACATCTCTTCAAATGATTGTGTTGATCATTCTTAATAAATGAATAGTGCTCAAGTACAATTCATGTCTCATGAATCGATGAATAACTCTTCGAATCCGCATTTACAAGCTCAAGGCAACTTCGTGTCTCAAAATGATCATATCGATACCACACAACGTACATACGTGAATTTCCAGGATTTTTATGATTCTGAAAATTATGAAATGGGGGATAAATCCGAAGAGTCGAATCAACTCCCGGAATTTAATGTAAAACCAATTCCACAAGAATTGTATGAAAGCCATTTCCATACATAATGATATTAACATCCTTTCGATGATCAGCAAGGAGAATATATCATTTAACGGTAATGATTTATTCCAAACCTTTACTCTTACAAAACAATATTTATAATGAATCAGTGTAATTCATGAATTATAATTCTATGTTTTCTAATTTTCTAAGTTTTATTAAGTCACATGTACATTATGTAATAAGAGCTTTTAATTTATGATTCCCATTATTTTATTTAGCGAAATCAAATTTTAAGACAGAGAATAAATTAAAAAGATAAAAGATAAAACTTATTTTAACCATAGGATCGACTTATACGTGATGGCTACTTTTAATATTTGTCACCAAAGGACAAATTAAAGGGAAATAACAATTTTGCGGAAAATGATCAAGTGATGACAATCAGTCGTTTACCATGAAGACCTTGTTTGATAGAAAATAATAAACTGAGCCATATATGCATAAAAAAAAAATGAAATGAAGTGTAAAAAATAATTCAACATCTTATAAAGTAAATGTGCATGACCGTATATTAAAAATGTAAAATTTTGTATAAAGAAGAAAACAAAACTTTATAAGATACAATTCGGGAGTTGTTTTCTTAAAAGCGTATATAAGTGTGGTTGAAATTTTGATAACTTTGAATTTTCTTTTGGAAACATTGCTAAATACGAAATCATACAAATGTATCGTTGAAAAGAGACGTTCAAAAAAAAATGAACGGTAACGGCCAGAGTCATCCGGAAAACGTCATCTAACCGAAAACCGAAAACGTGCTACAGTTTCAGTTGTATTTTTTTTTCAGATGTTTTCCAGTTGAACGACGTTTTTTTAAACGTCTTCTATACGCACACGGAAGATTTTATTTTAGGTTATGAATCTCATGTCATATTAGTTCACGTGACTGTATATAAATAATTTCCTTTAGATTTGCTGTGTTAATACAGTAATAATAATAATAATAATAATAAAAAAGAGCATGACGTAAATAAAATAATAAAAATTTAGGTAATTTTAATAATTTTAACAAAGCAACTTAGATGTAAAAAATTTTTTATTTTTTAATGTGAATACCAGCAAAGTTTTAGTGTAAACCTTTATATATATATATATATATATATGTGATTTCGTAATTTGTAATTGATAAATTTCATTATAAATACACCAGACGACAAATAGAACAAAAAAAAATAATTACATTTTATCAAAAAAAAAAACATAAAACAAATTACAAAATTTCGTTGAAAATTAAACCACGAGTACTATTGCTAATCCCGATTGGCAAGGCAAACTTAAGTCGTCCAAGAACGAATTTCCTAACGAAGAACAATTTAAAATCATTAATAAATTTAACCGGGAAGAAATATTCAACCACAAATACGATATACCGAATTTATTCTCCAAATTTTATAAACTTGATACCACGCCACTTGATCAAATAGTGTCAAAAAGACCTGTAAACAGCTTCATGATACTTAGGCTCGTCTTAGGGTTGGTAGCTGCTAAAGGAGGGATTAAAAGAGAACTTGGAGATGGGACACAACTAAGCAAGATAGCGGGGTTTATTTGGGGAGGAGCAGATCCTAGCGAGAAGAAAATGTTTGAAGAATTGTCTACGCAGTTCAAGGAATTTCACAAATTATTTTTCCCTAATTACAAATATAAACCGACACCAAAGGTTCAAGCTGTTGGTAGTACTTTCGAATGAATAACAAAATTCAAAACGAGAAGAAAAAATTTTATTATAGAAAAAGGAATTATTAAAACATCAAGTTCGCATATTTTATATTTATCATCTAATCTTTTCTTAAAAAAAATTTCCCAAAGATAAAATAAAACATTAAAAAATTAATTGGTCAAATCAGTAATTCTTTGTAACACAATATAAATAAATATTCAAGTGACCATAACAAAAATGTTGAAATTCTCGGTTGAATTATTTTTTTTTTTTTTTAAAAAAAATTTTACCCAATGAATACAGCAACAAATTACATAGCATCCTTACTTTATGAGTGAAGTGCCAAAAACTTTTTTGAGATGATTTTCTAAACAAACTAATTTTAACTAATTTTTGACATGAAATTCAAATCTATTATAGATTGGTCCGACATAAATTTCAGATCATAATGCTCGGTCAGTAATTCAATGCTTTTTTTTTATAAAAGAGAACTCCTCCAAAATATCTACTCGATCCGTCTTGAACCGTTATAAAAAAAACATCTTTCGCTATACGCCGAAAGGTTTGCTTAGTCGCACAAGATACATTAAGACCGAATTTATTTATGGTTTAACGTTTTCTTCAAAAAAAAAAAAAAAAAAAAAAAAAATGAGAATGACAATAATTCATTCAAGTCTGTATTATAACTATTACATCCAAAATAATTGCAAAGTTTGCTATGGTTGATAGCCGATCAGCACACTACATAAACAAATATTCCGTCATGTAACGTGCAACATCTTTGAAAGAATAAAGATTCCTATTAAACAACGCACAAATTGACAAATTGTAAACTAAAAAAGCAAACCTGTTGTAGAATATTGAATCATTATACATGGATGCAGGCACGTTAAGGTTCTTTAAAGAATTGTTAATGGGTTTACCTTTATTAATAACGGTTAAGATTTCTTTAAAAGAATTCCAAATTTTTAATAATTTCATGATAGGAAACATGTGTTAAGTACAGTTTTGTAAGAAAATAAATAATAATAATCGTTATTAATACCCGAAAGAATTAAATTCAGCTAGATTAAATGTTTGGGCTTGTAATATTATAACAATTCCTTTTTTAGAAATATAAAAATAAAATTTTGAGATTGCTCGAATAATGGACTCCGATAGGATTTTCTATTTTTAGGATTCACATGGAGAAACATCATAACCTTTGGACTTATAAAGAAAATGTTCCGGAACAGTCAAGTAACCTCTCGGAATTAACTAACGGATAATTTTTCAATTTAATAATGAAAACATTCGAGATTTCTGACTTTCTAGAAAATTACTTTACAGGGAAATTAACAATGCTCGTTGATGGAATCGTTCCTTTATGCCTAAGAATTCTACAAAGATTACAAAAATCAACATACCTTCATAATCCCTTTGGCATTTATTTATTGCCAAAGCATCATTATGTGATATTTGAAAGGCCTGTGATAATGGTGATGATTTAGGTTTCTGAACAGAAGCATTTTGATCCTTCTTCAGTAAATGAAATGTCTGAACTAAAGAATAATTTAGATTACTTCACGGTTGACAATATTGGTTTTGTGGACCGTTAGAGCGAATGCGTTTTGTATCGGGAATTGGTATCTCTAGGCTTGTATACCGTTCACTTCGAAATTTACCGTCTTTTTTTTTAACATTCATCTTGGCGATATTTCTGATCGTTGGAAATGTAACTTATATATCGTTGTTTAAGAACGTGAAAAGTTCATCGGAAACCTCATCTATTATTATAGCGATAAAGCAACTCTCAGGATTGACCATCTAGAGATAATGTTTGGTAATGTCCAGATATTTGCCTTATCCTTAAGAACGAATGTTTTGAACTGCGACGCCCTTAGCATGTAGTCGATTTTTTTTATTATCCAGCATGTTTATTATTTTAAGGGTCATGAACGTTTTCCCGTCCAGCCATGAAGAAATGTGGTATATATCTCATTTTCGAAACCACACGTGTTACAAAGTGTGTTGTATACTTTGTACTGGTCATCATCAAGCATCAACGTAGAAATAATTGGGGAAGACAGTCTTTCTAATGAGATACCCAAACTCATCTCTTTTTATATCTGACTAGGCAACGAGGATCGTTGTGCGTCCGAAGAGAGCGTCACGCTGTCACAATTTTATCGAGCTTGACATTTTATTTTTAATTTAGTATAGTGTTACATTTAATTGTTTCACGATGAATAATAAATATGAGAGATTTTTTTCTTAATTTTGATCATTATTTATAGGTTGCTTACTTTAATGCTACGAACTAACCCTAATTCCACGCAACTTATCGGAAACGTTGCGCAGCCGTTGGCTGCGTGGCCTGCGGCCTGCTTTCCTAACAAACCT